CTATTACTTTTGCCTGTTAAATATTAGTTATGAGTAGACTCCTCCCCTCAATTACATCATTTGTTTTATCCTACGTCTGGCACATCAACTTCCACAGCAATTCTTACTGCCCCCCTTCAGATGAGAAAGTATTCTGATTCTCTTGTTCCCATGGGAGTGTCAGACCAAATACGAAATCATGTCAGAAAAAAATCCATATTATATTGAAATAGATAACAATATGACAAATGACAACTTGTTGCAAAGTAAACACCATGCTTGTCTACACTTGGCAATTGGGGCTGGCTAGATAGGGCTAAACAGAGTCGCTAGAGCAGGGGTCAGGGAACTTTTTCACCTTTTACCCTCCCCCCCCCAAATTATATACACTGACATTACCCCCTTGATTCGAAAGGAAGAAAATCATATATTATTTGAATTAAAAATATTATTGAATCTACACAGGCTGTGTACCGAACTAGCAGGATGCACCAAATTTGATTAAAATGTGCCCTATTTTTGCTGGAATACATTACGCTCCAGCCATGGTGTGGTATAGGGAGTAGTAAGGTGTCCAACGTGCCTAGCAAGTTGCATTAAATTTTTGCTAGCTTGCAGAGGATTTAATCATCATCAGTGGCTACCAGAGTGGTGCTAGCAATGACGTGCTTGCTAGAGATAGCCAACGCAGAATGGGAGAGGGGGCTTTCCCTGCCACTTTAATCATTCCATGTGTGGTGTGCAAAAAGGAACAAACCAGGCTAAAGGCCATGTCACCCACCCTGGTGCCACAGTCTGATATCAAAGGATCAGTGTGCTTTTTTTTATCATCATCAATGGAAAACTCAGCAGTGGCCAGAGGACTGGAAAAGATCAGTCTACATCTCAATCCCAAAGAAGGGCAGTGCCAAAGAATGCTCCAACTACTGAAGAACTGCACTCATTTCTCACGCTAGCAAAGTTATGCTCAAAATCCTACAAGCTGGGCTTCAGCAGTATGTGGACCAAGAATTCCCACACTACAAGCTGGATTTTGAAGGGGCACAGGAACTAGAGACCAAATTGCTAAGATGCACTGAATTATGGAGAAACCAGAGAGTTCCATAAAAACATCTACTTCTGCTTCATTGACTACGCAAAAGCATGGCAGAAAGCGAGGAGGAATTAAAGAAACTCTTAATGAGGATGAAAGAAAAAAATGGTCTGAAGCTCAACATCAAAAAAAAAACAACACTTAAGATCCTGGCCACTGGTTCCATCACCTCCTGGCAAACAGAAGGGGAAGACATCGAGGTAGTGACATATTTTATTTTCCTGGGATCCATGATCACTGCAGATGGTGACAGCAGCCACAAAATTCAAAGATGCCTGCTTCTTGGGAGGAAAGTGATGACAAACCTAGACAGCACCTTAAAAAGCCACCCTTCCCCCCGCCTTAGTTCAAGGTTTCTCTTTGTCTTGCCTTTTCTTTTTCATAATTTTGAGTCAGCCTCTCTCACTCACTCTCTCTGTCTCTCCCTCACACACACACACACACACACCCATCCATCCACCCACCCTCCGTCCTTTTCCTCCCTCCCTCCATTTTCTCCCTCCATTTTCTACATACATTTAAATAAGCTTGATGAAGTCCTCAGTCTCTCGCCTTTTTCTTCCGTCCTTCCCTTGCTTGCTCCTTGATCCTTTCCCTCCTGCTGCTTCTTTGCAGTCATTTCCGGAGGAAGCAGTCATTCAGGAGCCCCGGATTGATTGATTGATTGCCTGGTGCTAATCCACAGCTGTAACCAATCAAGCAGGCTTATCTCCGATCTCTGAACGAACAGAGGAATTACATTTGCCCTGCTGCAACCAAGGAAGTAACAGGGAGAGGTGGCTTCCAATTTGAGGTCTGGCTGCAGAGGGTGGGGGGTGGGAGAGAGGGAGGGGGGTAGCACTCTCCTCATTACCCCCAGGATTTTCACTTTTACCCCATTTGGGGTAATTTACCCCTGTTTCCCAACCTATGTATTAGAGATCAGATCAAGGTTTGGTATGCCATTTGGTGTGATTCTTGCATCCAAATGCTATATACACCTCAAGCAAACCTATTTGGTCTGGCGCCTTCTGCTGTCAAATTGCCATATATTATCTTAAGAAGAGAGCCACTTCAGGATACTGACAAATAAAACACTTTTTCTGTGTCTCCACAGAGGTGCAGACAAATGATTTTTAAAAAGACTCTATTAAGGCAGTGCAGATGCACTGCATCACTTTTTAAAAAAAAATTAAAACAGAATACTTCCCCCCAGAAGCAGGAGGAGGGATGAGAAGGTAACAAGGGTTTTTTCTTCTTTTCTCACACTTGTCTTGAGAACCTGACCATAACTGAATCCACCATGATAATTTAATAGCAAATCTTGGGCTACAATATGGTGTTATTTTTTTTGTTTGCCATAAGTTATGTGAAGTAAAGCAAGGAAGTGAGAAAGCTAGTACTATTTGATACTGAAATACTGGTGAAAGTAAAACTTTAGTGAGTGCTCCAACACTGGAGGCATTCAATGAAAATTGAGCATCTGTCAGGTCTGCTTTGATTTGCATTGAGCAAGGGGCTGGACTCAATGGCCTTACAGACTCCTTCCAGCTCAATGATTCTATGAACGTATTCAATGATGGGGGAAAAGTAAGGAAAACCTAGTAATGCAACTGTGGAAAAAACAAGTTCCTATATTTGTTAATAACAAACACAACTGCCTCATCAGCTGGGGGAATGGTTATCACAAGAACAGCATTTGATTAGCTAGTGTACTTCACCTACAATAAAGTGACAAGTCATAGCCAAAACTGGGGTTAAAATGTGGCCAAATATTCTCCTTTCTTTCATTCTCAAACGGCTTCAGACATTGTTTGACTCCAGTCTTACAACAGAATGTCCCTCAACCAGAATCTTAAGATTAGTAGCCGAATCCAGAAATCTGACATCGAGAGGTGTCCAAGACAGAGATAAGACCAACTGGCCTGATTGTTTCATGAATAAAGATAAATCATGTACAAGAAGCAATCATGGTTCAAAGAAAAGATATGAAAACAACTACAATCAAGGTTTCCTGCAATTAACAATGAAAACGTAGCTTGCATACTACCTTATTAGACTTACCTATGATGCCAATTTTTAAAACTCTTCCCAATGGGAATATAGAGGGCCACAGAAACAACTGGAGGAGATGCTGGGGAACATCATTCCTTCTCAAAAATGGCCTAGACAATTTGCAGATGATACAGACAGTACTTTGCATAGGAGAATAGCCCCCTTCATATCAAGAATGACTCAGGAGGACTAAAGCAAAGATGGGAAACATGTGCCCTCCAGATGCTGTACAATTCCTATAGCCTCCTGCCACTGGCTGTGATGGCTAAAGACACTGAGAACTGCAGTACAACAATATCCTGAAGGTTGTACATTTTCTATCTCCACTTTAGAGAAATATTCCAAGTTTTACCCTACTGCCTCATGCACATAATACATAACTCTGAGTCTCCCATTAGTGACACTTTAGTTTTCACAGTGTCTTTTACACTTCTTTTCCAATTAGTACACATGTGTAGGAGTGATACATATCATACATAAGAAAACGGTTGTAAGAAGGTGTGACAAATGACAAGTCCCGAGAGATCTGTAAACAAGTATAGTGTGTCCAAAACACAATTCCTGAATAATGAAGAACTAACCATTATTACAGCTTTCGTCTTATTTTCCTCGAGGAGATACTGGCAGCATTTAAGACTAACAATGGGATACAAATATGCAGAAAGCCTAATTCATATTTCCAAACAAAAGCAAAACAATACTTTGAGAATGTCTGTGAATACCACCATTGATTCTATTTCAAAGGAACATTCCTCTGAAGATATGAAATATGGAAGACTAAGAGAGATTCCTTGTTCTTTTGGGGGCTTTAACTGTGAATCCCGAAACTGCTTTTTCACAAACCATGAGGGCTTAAAAGGGGGTGAGTGGATCGGTACAGGGTATAGTGGTGATATCAGTAGGAGATGCTGCTGAATGACGAACTCTTAGCCAGACCTTGCTGGCCATTAAATGTCAACATGTTTTCACTTGATATTTCATGCAGAGAAACACTGGAACAGGGAAAAATGAAGAAAAACAAGTGAAGACAGTAGCCATTCTAATATATTAATATATTATGTAGGAGTTAAATTAATACTAGAACATTGTTGTGTAATCCCTGTCTCCACTGTTAATTATTTCAGCACTCTGAGATAGGAAATGTTATAATTAAAACTAGTGATTCATGAACCTCATGACTAGAAGTGAGATTATAATTTTCTCAGTTCTAATTTTGCCAAAAATGTATGAAATTAAAATACAAATTAAGAAAACCTATTTTCACTGGAATACTAAGCATCTGCTAGTCAGAAAATGCTGGATTTTTACCTGAACGTACAAATCTAATTTGCTATTTCCGTGTGTATTAAACTGCAGAGATATATTGGCTCTGAGAAACTATACTGGCATGCCTGCTTGCTATGCCAGAAAACTAGCTCTTTAATACCATACAACCATAATATAATATTTTGTAAAATTGTAGCTATTGTCTCCAAAACACTAATGTGCTGAAAGCTGAAATACCTTCCTTAAAGATCAGCCTAACTACATAACTGCATATGATTTTGTTCACAGTAATTTTACCTCTTTTTACACCAAGACTGGATATCATGGCATTAATTAATATTAAGATACCAACAGCAAAAATATATTAGAGCAGCAAGTATTTTATATGTATTCCCATTATAAAAAAGGATACAAGGAAACATTATTGAAACATTTTTCATCTGATGAATTATGTGAAGGTATGAAGAAAAAATATGGGGATGTCTGCCATTAAAATGCCAGGTCAATGAAGACAAAATAAAGAAATTTAATGGTTAGCTTAAAGAAACATTAGCACACTGAAGATATCAAGAAAAAAAGACGTTGCATGAAATATCTTTACATTTACATCTGAAGATTAAACAAATACCTTTGTTGCAAGTTGTGAAACAGAGGATGTAACTTCATCATGAAGGGAAGGATCCTTATTCTTAGAAAGAGAGAAAGAATGAATTTTAGAGCCTGTAATCAGTTTTAACTACTTCAAGAAAGTTCATAACATTTTTGTGATAAATATACAGTAATGAGAACTGCATATATAGGAATATATACAACAGTTAAATGCCAGTCATTTTCCTGGCTATATTTACTTCTTCCACTGTAATGCAGGTTTAGATGCATGTTTCACTATGCTTAGCAAATTTTCTGTTTCTGGAAATTCTCTGTACAGCACATTCTTTCCTCCCAAACAAACACACAATAATCATGCTTCTAACACTGCCTGGCTGTATATAAGAGGCAATGAGAAAGAGGAGCCTTTTTGGTTGGATTGAACAGAAGATCACCCCGAAAGCCATTCTACCACTACCATCTATCCCTCTCATGCAGCAGTGCCCCCACTCACAGTTTTCTTATTCTGCTTAGAAGAACCAAGGAGGAGTAACAGGAAATGAATACAATCTCTGTAATACCCATGATGGCTGGGGATGATAGGAATTATAGTCTAATTTTCTTGGAGGCCAACAATTGGGAGATAGCTGGTATATGTCTTAAATTAGTGCCTGAAGGAGTGCATTCAGTGTAAACCAGTTATTGCCAGGCTCTGGACATGCCCCTTTAAAAGTGTATTATAGTAACTGCCACTGGATCCTCTGTTTCACCACTCAGTTGCTTCAGTCCACGAAACTCAATACATGTCTGCAAAGTTCTACTCTTTCCATAACTAAGTGGAATATACAGGGCCATTGCAAGACTTATGTAAAGAAAAATGTAGTTGTACAGAACCATTTTAAAGGGAGCACTTCTTAAAGATCAGCATGAGCCCAAAGTGCTACCGTTACCCACTGCCTGAAGATTTTACACAGCTGCCACCAGCCCTAAATCACGTTTAGGTGGCAGAAGACAGCCTTTCCTCAGTTTTTTCCTTTTCCTGGACAACTGAATTTAGCATTTACTTGCTTACTGAATTTATATAGCAACCCTTAACACAAAAGAAATGCAACATGTAACAGTAAAAGCTATTACAAACTCAAAATACAATCACAAACCAAACACTCAAAACTAAGAGATGCTGTTCATAACACATAAGCTATTTAAAAGGCCTGGGAGAAAAAAAATCACAAAGTTTGTGTTAGGTGGATGTCTCTGAGAAGGCTGGACATAAATTAATGCTATTTAATATCTATATGAGGCCACTGGGGGAGATCAACTTTGGAGCTTTGTGTCACCAATATGCGGATGACCCCCAGCACTCTCTCTCTCCTTCCGCCTTTCTGCAGTGGATGCTGTCCTATCCTTTGAGCGCTGCCTGGATACAGTGCTGGGATAGATGAGGGATGACTGAGGGTGAATCTGGGCAAGATGGAAATCCTGCGGGTGGGGGCCTCTAGTGTCTCTGGTCTGGATGTCTCCCTGTCTTTCAAGGGGGCCACTCTTTCCATGAAGGATGAGTATGCAGCATGGGCATACTTCTGGACGCAGCACTATCAATGACATCACAGGTAGCATCTGTGGTCCAATCTGCTTATTTCCATCTAAAGCAGATTGCCCAGCTGCATCCCTACCTTGACATTGGGTCCCTCGCCATACTGGTTCATGCTCTGGTAGTCTCAAGATTAGACTCTACATGTAATGCCCTCTATGTGAGGCTGCCCTTGGGACAGCTAAGGAGACTGCAATGGGTCCAGAATGCGGCGGCCAGACTACTGAATGGGGTTAGAAAATACCAAGATATTTACCCCACTCTGGCTGTCTTACACTGGTTACCTGTTCACTTCCATCCCAGTTTCAAGGTGATGGTATTAACCTATAAGGCCCTAAACAGTTTGGGATCTCAGTATCTGGCCGAGGGCCTCATTCCAATTAGGTCTGCCCGTCCAGTAAGATTGTCACAGGCAGAGCGGCTGAAAGTTTCGACTCCAAGAGAAGCCTGGAAAACAATCACCAGAAAACGGGCCTTCTCGACAGTAGCTCCACAACAGTGGAATACCCTCCCACTTGAAGTTCGCCTGGCCCACTCACTAGGCTACGTTAAAAGCCTATTAAAAATCTGGCTATTTAGACAGGCCTTTCCTGAACAAACAGCAACCTGAAGCAACAGTGCCTCTGATAATGTAACATTTAACATTGTTGTTCTTTAGTCACTAAGTCATGTCCGACTCTTCATGACTCCATGGACCAGAGCACGCCAGGCCCTCCTGAATTCCACTGCCTCCCGAAGTCTGTTCAAAGTCATGTTGGTCACTTCAATTACACTGTCCAACCATCTTGTTCTCTGTCGTCCCCTTCTCCTCTTGCCTTCACACTTTCCCAACATTAGGGTCTTTTCCAAGGAGTCTTCTCTTCTCATGAGACAGCCAAAGTATTGGAGCCTCAGCTTCAGGATCTGTCCTTCCGGTGAGCACTCGGGGTTGATTTCCTTCAAAATGGATAGGTTTGTTCTCTTTGCAGTTCAGGGGACTCTCAAGAGTCTCCTCCAGCACCACAATTCAAAGCATCAATTCTTCGGTGGTCAGCCTTCTTTATGGTCTAACTGTCATTTCCATACAAAACTACTGGAAAAACCATAGCTTTGACTATGCAGACCTTTGTCAGCAAGGTGATGTCTCTGCTTTTTAAGATGCTGTCTAGGTTTGTTATCACTTTCCTCCCAAGAATCAGGTGTCTTTTATTTTCGTGGCTGCTGTCACCATCTGCAGGGGTCATGGAGCCCAAGAAAGTAAAATCTGACACTGCCTACATATCTTCCCCTTCTGTTTCCCACGAGGTGATGGGACCAGTGGCCATGATCTTAGTTTTTTTGATATTCAGCTTCAGACCATTTTTGCGCTCTCCCACCTTCATTAAGAGGTTATTTAATTCCTCCTCACTTTCTGCTATCAGAGTGTTATCATCTGCATATCAGAGGTTGTTGATATTTCTTCTGGCAATCTTAATTTCAGTTTGGGATTCCTCCAGTCCAGCCTTTCGCATGATGCATACTGCTGAAGCCTACCTTGTAGGATTTTGAGTATAACCTGGCTAACATGTGAAATGAGTGCATACATTTAACATACCGACATATTTTATGCTACTAAATGTAATGTATTGTACTGTATTTCACCATGTCTTCCACTGTGCTGTAGTTTTCCGTGTATAATACACCGCAACATATGAGACCTCCACCCACTTTTCTAACCCAGAATTTCTTTCTTTGATCCCTGCTTTCCCCCTCCACTTTTTGCGAAGTGGAGGAGGAAAGCACTTTCCTCACAAGAAAGTGCTTTCTTGCAAGGAAAGCGGAGGGGAAAAGCACTTTCTTGCAAGGAAAGTGGAGGGTGAAAGCACTTTCTTGCAAGGAAAGTGCAGGGGGAAAGCACTTTCTTCCAAATAAAGTAGAGGGGGAAAAGCACTTTCTTGCAAAGAAAGAAATTCTGGGTTAAAAAAGTGGGGAGGGTCTCATACATTGGGGTGTATTATACACAGAAAAATACAGTATTTTATGGTATTTTGTTTTGCACTATTTAATTTATTGATGTCTTATTTTGTTATTCTATTGTTTTCTGTTTAGTTGTTATAAATCACCCAGAGTGGGCTTGGCTGCCAGATGGGCAGTATATAAATTAAATCAAATCAATCAATCAATAAGACCATAACCAAAGTTCCACTACCTCCTCCTCCCTGATACACATATGATTTACTTCATTCCATGGACATTCCTACAATAAGCTCAACTGAAGAAGGTCTTAAGAGATAATAGTCTTTCACTGTTTTCCAGTGGACATAAAAGTCTAGGTCTTCCTAGTGCTGCTCACACAGCTAAGTAACTGTCGGCTTCGGTATTTTCCTCCAAAATGTGGAACACTCATTGTTGTTTCTAAGCAATATATACACTCTTTGTTTCAATGTGCAACCTGAAGACTGTCCTGCACCTAGGTCTAATTAAGCCTGCACCATGTCTCCTGCAGTATGTCTTCCAGCTGACACATACTGCACACTTCAGTTTTTCTTGTCCTCCAATCTCTTGTTCTGCACAATATCCAGCTTTAAAAAGACCACTAGAAAAATCAAAAACTTGCTCAATAGGTTTTGGGATGCTGGCTTTAAGGCTAAAATCAATTTAAAATGCTAATTTCAGCTTTAGCCAATGCTCACCAGGGTCAAGTAACATAGGAACATTTATTTTGAAATTAGCCTTCACTTCAATGCTGAAATGATGAACCCAATAGATTAAAGACTCCCCATCACAGACTGAAGAGTCCACACATTCAAGAAAAAAAATGTGTACATGAAAATCATTAAATATTATTATGTTATAAACTGATATTGGCTTGTTACTTCAAAGAATGGGTTATTATGATACAGGAAGGTGAAGTGTGTTTGCTATGAAAAGTCACTTTGAAACTGATAACTTCACTAGTGATTTCCATACCAAAGGACATTTGGATAATTATTTGGAAACACACATTTCATGCGTCTAAGGAAATGAGTGGACTGTAATAAATAAAAGCTGACACACCGAAATAAATTTGTCTTAAACATTCCACAAGCCTTTGGTTTTGTTGTTGTTTTCTTATGCAAAATAGCTGCATTCATGAGAAGCCAGTCATCTGTAGAAAATGGCCATTCCATGAAGTAATATGCCCCTGTGACTGCTTGGTCATAATATGGAGAAATATGTATCAGCGTACAACACATGGCCAGTGACTAATATGGCAGCAGGTATCCATGCAGTTACTGTGTAGCCATGTGGTCATTTCCTCTTTCATTGTTGACACAACACCACTTAAAAAAATCACCAATAAACATTACCCACTGATTTTCTTGGATCCTTTCCCTTCTATGTCAACCACAGGTAAAAGAAGAAGAAAAGAAGGTGAAAGGTAATGAATGGCAGCTTCTATGCCAGCTCTAATACATTTCTTACAAAATACTTAAACTGAGTCTAAATGACAACCTTCAACTAAAAGATACAAGATTATGAGTTGGGACAGAGTCTCTCTGTTCACAAAG